GACACAGACACACAGACAGTGTGTACTCTTCATCGGTACTCTTCGCCATTGTCTCTCTGGCTTGGAGGTGAGCTACTAGAACTGGCCCTACACTACAATTCCCATTAGGCTAGAAAGACCCAGCCCAGTCTCCGATATCGGCTGTTTTCCTGTTTAGTATGACTGTGATTGGACTCAAGTGGCTGACCCTGCGCTCTGACCCCCAGCTTCTCTCCCTGTCTGTGTGTCTCACGGAGAGCAAGCTGGGGTCTGCGAAAAGACACATTCCTAATGCAAGAGATTGTATATGGCCAATAAAGTGATCTGATCTGAAACAGCTCTCAGACAGAGAGCCACTCGCGTCTCCTTCAGCTCTGCATCAAAGTACACGGAGCAATTAACCCGCAATCGTAGTGTTGGGCAAGTGAAAGCGAAAGGCTACTTAAAGATGTTTAAAAAACGCAAGTAGAGCCACGAGGTTTTATTCTCAGCCTCGCACGCGTAAAATCAGGAGTTAAAAATAATACGTATTTGTTCCACTCCTCATCGAAGAAACATAAAACTGTTTGAACGTATGATTGCATGCGCTTACTACACTACAGCTAACAGTTTCTTACACAGCTAACACGCGAAGAAATCGCGGGCTCTCCACTTTCTATCTTAACGCTGCGTATCAACGTCTCACACTGATGCGCAAAGCTATCGAAAAGCTTCCTCGCTGGAAAGTGAGAACGAGCTTTTAACAGTCGGTACCTTTTACTTTTACTTAATCAGGTTGTGAAGTAAACAAAAGCTTTACAACTCACCTCATTTACTATTCGTCTGTTCCAAACACAAGCAACACGTTCCTGCCAGACACACGCTGATTGCACCGGAAGTGAACATAGTTCCTGAAGGTTATCCGGAAACCCCCCGTTGCCGTGGAAACACAGAAACAACAACAGGGCTGGTCTGGAGCTGTGGCCGCAAATCGGATTTTGTAAGTACAGGAACGTTTATTCCAGTTCAAACGTTTAAGCCATTCTTTCAAAAAAAAAAAAAAAAACACAAGTTAGAAGTGTTAACATGAGAACTCTTTTAAAATAACGAGAAACAGATGAAAAAAAAAACAGGCTCCAATATAAAATAAGCTCCAAATAAAAAAAAAATGATTAGAGAAATCCAAGTGCTCTAGATTTTCAAAAGGGATTTTGCATTTTTAAAATGCATCTGTGTCAAAGAAATATTACTGATATTATACATAAATTCGACTGAAGCCATTATCCAAAGCGACGTACCGTTAATAATATTATGATAATATATGAATTCGTAGATAGCTGAAAAAAAGCCATATAATATTATTCAAGATGTTTTTGGCAGAGTCAGTGGACTTTGAATTATAGCACAACAAAGCTTGACAACTGTAATCCTCCAGGAAAAATTGTTTCGATTAAGACTGACTAGAATAATAGCAGATTTCAGGATTCTGCACAATAATACACATAAAAATGTAATTGCTGTTATCAAAAAAAAATGAAGTAGCATATATTTTATACACGCTTACAAAATAGTTTTATTTTACATTTGAAAGGAACTGAACCTCTTTTGCCTCGAGTAAAGGGAAGCCAAAGTTTAGTTTTCGCATCATACTCTAACATACAGTGCACCATCAAGGCGAAAGCGGACATTTCAATGATGCACGCATACACCTAAAGTGCTTAACCGGGAGGCTGATACTCTGCGAGACTTTAAGAAGCGGACGGGTGAGATTTGACCAAGTTCTTGCCCACAAAGTGAGAAAAGATTAACTGAATTGCTAGTTCCTGTTCACACCCATAAGAAATTAAGAAGTAAAATCGTCTAGTTCAGTAATTGCTCTGACTTTACGTCACATATGGCGATGGCTTCAACTTACGAAAGAAACGGAGAAAATAGTAAATATACCAGTGATCCGATCCTTTGTAAGGCGCACAGCAGGAACGTAGGGCTGGTTATAAAAGTCACAAGACCGAGCTGTGTCTCTCGTGATTTATATAGGAGATTTGCAGAGTCACCAGAAAGTGGTCAGTGGCAACTCACAGGCCAATTCTACGCACAGGTACACATCTTTGCTGTTTGCATTTTTCTTTTTATTGTACACTTGGTAAGTGGCGTTGTTTTGTATGCAAAAAAGGCCCGTGTGTTCATATAAGTCACCTCGAGTTACAGTAGGTCGTTGATAGAATACAACGAGAACCGCCCGAGTCAGTTCTGCAGCGTATGGGTGCTGCAAAAGTGTTCGTTTTCACTCGGGACATTTAACATCGCTCCTTTCCCAATCTGTCTGAACCTGCCGCCTTTGTCCAGATCCTTCGTCCTGTGCGCTGACTGTGGTCCAAGTGTCTCCGCTCCTTGCTGAGATGGACCAACTCCCTCAAAACGCTCGATTTCACCCGCAGCGAGTTCACGCCTTCCTTCAGGAGGTGGCGACGGCGAAGTGCTTGCCGTTTACATACTTGTAGGCTATCTTTCTTGGCTATGAGTAAACTGCATCGCGATTGACTGGATGAGGTGCCTTGCGGGTGCTCAGCCTAATCTTACGCAGAAAACGGCTTTATTGAATTTGGAGAAGGAAAGGCGCAGGGACGGACGTGATTGAGTCGTTCAAACGCCACGCACAGCGTGCTGAAAGCGCCGTCAATGTCACACGAGCAAAATAGTACCATTAACTTCAGTTGCTTGTTCTTTTTTTTCTCCTGCCAGTGGTGTTCAATAGAGAAATAAATTCAAGGACCAGCATCTTTAACGCCCATCGCAACGGAACGTACCACCTAGAAGTGATTTTTATTCTAGATTTTATTCCAAGTTTTTTTTTTTGTTGTTCTTTAGCGGAGTATGCAAACGTTGATGGCGTGTATTGCTGAACGAATATATAAAAACAGTGTTCTAGATTATGTAACGCACGGAATGACTGGCTTTTTTCACGTTACCTCTTCGCAGAAGCGGTAATTAGTCCCATTTTCGACAAGGTGTTGGTCATTGCGAATCTGGGACTGCAGGTCACAGGTGAAGAAAATCAGTTTCCACATGAAGGACAGGGTGTACCGATATTGCAAATCATGGCCACATATTTTATCCACTGTTGTGTTATGTAAACCATATTGGTTGAATCGTTATTTTCATATACGACTATAATGCCGTGGGGACGTGTCAATGTGAATTTATTAGCTGGTGCTAACGCAATCTTTTGTATTCAATTAAAAAAATAGGATATAAAAATCAGTCAGCAACTGGGATTCTTCAAACTGTCTATCCCAGTATATCCGAATTTATACTACTTATTATCCGCGGAATCAAACACTTGAAAGCAAGCTGAAAATGAAGAAATGCTAAATACAATTTAAAAATTTTACTTTGAAATCACCGTAAAACATTTTTGTCGAAACCATATTTATGCGAATTGAACTACAGACTATTTCTCCTAGACTATTTAATTTTTCGGTAATTAACACTATTTGGATGCATATAATCGACGAGTAATTTACACAGGAAATGTAACTGGTTATTTTTTGATCGATTGTTCAAAGATGACTACATTATATATTAATAACTATACGTGTATATACACCATTTATTTGCATATATTCACTAACTTTTATACACGACATATAAAGTATGTTCCAGTTTTTTATAGACACAAATACATTACACTATACTGTAAGTGGCTTTGATTCTCCTTTTGTATATTTTTAAATAACTGTTCACTTCTACTTTATAATTAACAATCGATAAATGTACGAAATAAATGAATTTAAGATTATTTTGATCCTATTTTTTCTGCAATCCGTGTAAGTGGATTGTATTATTATCCGAGAATTATAGGTGATCTTTCCCCGAAATTCCGTGCCATCTTTCAAACAAGATTTTAAAACCAAGGTTCAGACTACTGAAAGTCCCAAAAGGTCATACAAGCATTTTTTTTTAGAAGAGTAGGGGAGCTAACCACACTGCCAAGCTTAAAATTCATATTCTTGAATTCTGTCCAACCTAAATTTCTCTCCCCTCGTTGAATCTGCTCATTAAGACTTCAGACCTCCTTGTTAAACGCGGTGAATCTGAGGTATAATTGTAAAATGGTGGCTGCAGGCGACCCCAGAGAGAACTAGAACTAAGTCATATAATTTATTTTGCAGGAAATGTTTGTGCTAGAATCTATCAAGCCTACCAATATGCATTTCACACAGGCAAAAGACTCCCCTCTCAACACACAGCGCTCTGACCGAAGGTGGGGGCTGGAATGTCCGCAGCGCACTGCTGGGCGGTGAAAGTGACCGGGCTCACCGCTAACTGCAGCTCACTCTCCTGCTTTTTTTTTTCCAGGCTGAAGTCCAGCTGAAGCTCTTCCCTGTGATTCCTTGAGGTACGATTAGACTGGAAAGAGAGAATGGAGACTGTGCAAGTCGGAGTGGTCAGGGACTCCATGCTGGCTAATCCTCTTTTAATTAGGGTAAGGAGCAGGGATATGGGACTACTCCTGGATTAGTCACAGTACATTGACAAAGCACCAAGCTGGGACAAATACACAGCTTTGGCTGGCATCTGCCTGTTAGGGATAATATTACCTTTTCAAGCATGAAAAACTGCTTTCCTTCTTTCTCTTTATACGATTTGACCTTTTGTTTATCGCTAAAGATTTTTGCTGTCTTGTGCAGCCGTAAGGGATAAGTCGCAGAAATAGCTCCGCTCTGCTTTGGCTTCCTGCTTCCAGCCCTCACCAGCTCCAAAACTAGAGCCGGCACATTAAGGAGAATAAGTGGAGTGTGAGATAAAGGACTGGTTAGATCGATGTCATCGAGAGCCCGAAGCATTGACTCATAGTCCAGAATGCTGTGTGCCCGGACAAAGGGGCTGTTGATATTGATAAGGGGCAATGTTGTGATATTTTGGCACTGTCCATTTCAAAGTATTGTTCATGTGGTATCAATATAATTCGTGTAATTTTAGCGAGGTGTAGATATTGATCTGTATATATAAAAGAAAGCCCTGATTTTCACCAATGCACAAAGAGACACTTGAGAAAGAAAGTTCTTTATGTACTGGTATTGATCATTAGAAATTTCGATCAGATTTTTCTTTCACCATTTTTTTTTATGTGTGGCATCAGATACGCTTTCCTTTTACCCTCTAGTTAAATTCAACTTTCACATAGAATATAACTCATATTAAGGACCTGTATAAAGAACCTTAAAGTTGTTTATATGTAGCTCTTGCAGAAGATTGACAGATTAATGTCTCACAAAAAATCTTTAATTTGAAATATGAAAAAAACAAAGTATCAAAATTCTTTGTATATCCAGTATACAGTACTTAAAATTATTTTCTAAAGCATTTCAGATCATGTTTGCTAACTTGGTGTTGAGCTGTACAACAGTAGAGGGCAGTCTTGCTCTCCTAACATACAGGGAGAGAGCTAGCTACCGTGTGCTGTTTGTTCAGTGTTAAGGTATGCGTCTCTTACAAATCACTGTGTTCACACCTATTCAATACTGTCAAGTATCAAGGCAGCTCTCCTGATGCAATCAAAGGATAATTGGAGGAATTTAATATAGCTCTTTCCTAATTTATACAAGAAAGTCAATTAAATAGCACTTCATCTTCAGGTTTTGTGGACTTAGTTTGAATAAAGAGACAGGCAGAGAAACATCAGAATTACAAAAAGGACTAGTATATGTAATGAATAACAATGCATTACAGGCACACATTTTGTGCCAGCTGTCTAGCTTACATTATTTCAAAAGTAACACTATTTATGGATTTTTTAGTGTTTAATAAATGTGTTTATTAGTAGCTAGTTTGAACTTACAAAGACAGTTTATTCCCTTTCATATTCTGATGTAGGGAATTCTGTGTAGCAAATTAAACTGGATAAATACTTAAATACTGTGAGCATTTATTTATGCTGTGTTTCAGTGCAAAGTTATGGTGTTTAGCAGTAAAATATATTGGCTTTTGCTAGCTATTTCCTTGAAGAACTGGTTTTGTGTTCAGTTTTTGTCATATTTAACATGGATGTGTTACATGTAGAGGTTGAAGTATTTACTACACAAAATAGCTCTGCTGAGTTTTCTGAATTATGTCCATCTATCCATCTGTCTCTGTGACAACTAAAGTGAGGCAAACTCAGGTGACATCCTAACAATCAGTGCAATTCTTCAAAAGGATGCTGCAGAAATCATAATCCATGATAAAATTAAAAGAAGATGATCACATTATCATAACAGTAACTCTTTTATTTAGTTGGGGTTAGTGTTAAAGAGATAAATATTAGCAATTTGTATTCCTGCAAACCTGAGTCGTAAACAAAACCCTTTCAATTTTATACTCTATTCCTTAGAGATTAGAGGTTTGTTTAAATGTGCACTTTGAATCCAGATATAAAACTATCAGAATCTACTTGTGTTGAAATTTGTCAGAAAGTGTGGCAACTGAAATGCCCAGATGCCATTTGAAAAGAACCTTTCTTAACCTTAAGATTTACAGACATAGATTACTTACAATCTTTTATTTTGAAAAGGTAACAAGAGCCTGGCTTAAGACGTTAAGCAGGTAACTTAAAGAAAAATATGTAGAAAATAAGTGTGTCTTTGACCAAGAGCCCGACTAGATGCTGCACAAAGCACAATATGATTATATGACCCAGAAAGGAGAGCATTATGTTATCCACCGAGCTAAAAATACCTCACTGAGCTGTGGACACCCACGGTGTCGTAGTTCTCTGCATTAGACGCATATATAACATCTAAGCTGGTTTCTCTGTGAGCAGGCTGGCAGGGGTTCCAGCGATGGCTGTTAGAAGCACCTGTTCCTGATTGTTCTGTCAAAGCACACCTTTGATCAGGCTGTGCGAACACGTTTCAGCCAGCCGGGCTGCACGTGGGCAGATGCTAAGGGAGTGCCGTGTGCCCGTTTTGGGGTAACGGCACTCATCCGGGACCAGGGACTCTCGGGGGCAGAGCTCGTCGACACTGGATGGGCCCGTCGCCGCCTTCGCATTCACCTTCGGGTTTGCAGCACCGTCACAATCTACAAGCAGGCTCCACGCGGGTGGGTCGCGGAGTTCACAGAACGATGTGTTCAAATTCACCCCAGGAAATATTTTACAGCTTCTCTTCTTGGCTGACAAATTAGTAAGGTGATTCCTACCCTCGAAGTAGATCTTGAGGAACAAATACGGCCACTATCAACTGTCTGGTCAAGGTGGGTGCAGTAGCACCTGGAATCGATGTGCAAATCATTGACATTTGTGGTGATGGAACACCCAATCACTCTAAAGTAGCAGTGGCAGAGCTTTTGTGAAGATGGCCCTAGGTTTGCAAGAAGAAAAGAGGGGAAAGCTTATGAAAGAGTTTGCCTGCTGCTTAATGTGCTGCACCATTTGTAAATGCAACTGAATCACCCACTGTATAGAACTTGAGTGATGGTTATTAGTCTGGAGATCTGAAGGCCCACCTTCAAGGTATGAAGCTTCTAGATGAAGGCGTCCATTTTGCTGGCCTAGACAGATTGAATGAGAAATGGACTACGTGTGTGATGTCAAGGGGGACTGTTCAAGAAGGTGCTGTGAAGACCTCCTGACCCGACCCGTTTTAAGCACCTTGTTCTGTGAACGTTATTTACCCACTCTCATGTCAAAAGCAGTTTGTTAAAAAAAAGTCTTATCATTTTTAACTGAAAGTACAGATTGTGTGATTCAACGTAACACAGAGAACTGATTTAGAACAGCACTTTATGACATTTTTTTATTGAGGGTTTATTATGGATAAAAAGTGAAGTGTGAAATAAAATCACTGTTTATGCTGGGAATACATCTTAATTCTGGCAGTGAATCTGTCTGTTATGGTTGTTTTTAGTAAATCTGAACTCTTAGGGAACAATTACATCTAGTAAATCTCAATTTTTTCTTCTGCCTTGCAATTTATTTTAAGATATATGTCATTGTATTTGTCAAGAGGTCTATAGAGGTTATGTGTGGTATTAGGTTTACAAAAGTGCTCAAAGTGGGAGATTAATATTATTGACATATATCCATTTAATTTAATGAATGCTTTGCGAATTGCTATTTATAAGTGTAACTGTTCACTAAAGCTTCTTAACTAAACAGATCTACTGCAAAAAATATAAATGTGGTAACTTAAAATTAAGGAATTAAAAGGGTTAAAATGTTTACTAATCTTAATGATAAATTATCTAAAATATCTCTGTTCTTCTGCCTGCCCCAAGCTCTGTGAGCTCTCGATAAACCTTATTCAGTCAGTACATGCAGGTGTTTCTTTTACGTCACATGACTTAGATCATGTTTGCTGTGAATAATGTTTAACATGCCGTTTACAGGGTGCAACTGAGTATAACTACTGATGTATTGTAGTGACCAGTAAATACTGGAAATGACACCATTTTTAAACAGCGCACAGTTTAGAAAAATATTTGAAAATGTCAAATATATATCATGGTGTCCTAGTGTTTGTGATATTGAACTGTGCAGCATCAGACAGTCTGGACAAAGACAGCAAGTTCGTAAGCGATGTACTTCATTTCATAGCTGTCCATGTTGGAAACTAATTGGCAATTAAATTGGGTTTGTTTAAAGGTTGTTTTTTTTTTCCTGTTTAGAGTTAATGTACTTTCATTGTAAATTTATGTTTAATTCCTTTGAGCGAGGGAGGCTTTTACTGGGATTTCGGTGTCTTAAAGGACTGCTCCACACACACGTCTTTGGAGTGGTAAGATTTCTAGAACCACTCCACCTTGAGCATAACAAGGCATTTTTATTGGGCCTTTTCTCCCAGTAAAATGTGGTCAATTTATATATGGAGAAGAGCGCTAGCACAGCTGTTCTCCCAGGGGCTGCCGTACAGAAAACATAAAAGGACAACGTGTATAAAAAAATCTACAGTGTAAGAGTAAATACACAGGATATCCTGCTGCAACTGAGACATGTCAGGACTGGTTCAAAAAATGGAATATTAATGGTGGCGCCCCGTACCTAGCACAAGTACAGTATGTTTACATGCTTGTGCGTTTGATTATCATGCAGTGAAGATGATCTGCTTACAACATAAAGCTTAAAATGGATATGGTGCTGTTCCACAACGAAATCAAATAACTAAAAGTATGATACAGACATTTATGCTACCAACACCAAAATAGAAAATCAGACATATCTTTTGTTCTTGCGTTTGGCTTTATATACAGTATATATGTGTGTTGGTGGAGTGAAAATGAGTAGGCCCTGTCATAAAAGTAAAACATAATAGAAATAATTGTAAAGAAATACCTATTTTTATAATGCTATTTATTATAGAGGTTAATACATTAGAAATGGAAGGGGTTGGGAGTAATTATACATAGTAAGTAGTAAAAAGACAGAAAGACAGAATTATCGAAGAACCTTTTCAAGAAGAAAAGGAGAATCTCTTTTCAAGGTGACCCATAACTTTCTTTAAGACT